ACTACTACTACTACTACTACTACTACTACTACTACTACTACTACTACTACTACTACTACTACTACTACTACTACTACTACTACTTGCATTTGTTTAGAGCATATCCCCATTCGACAGCAAGCTCTATGCCCTTTACACCATAATATGATTACCCCAGCAGACCATAGAACACCCAGAAACATTGTCAGCTTTCCGGGAAGCATACAGTGCAAGCACTAACAAACTGACAAGATCTTTCACTGTCTATAGCTTGGCACCCATTCCCACCTGGGTGAAGTGAGGAAAATTTGTGTAAAGTGCCTTTCACAAGGACACAACGTCGGGTCCCTGACGGGATTCCAACCCACGACCTTACGGTTGCGAGTCTGAGATCCTAACCACTAGGCCAGGAACTAAAAGTAAAGGGAAGCGAAAAGATGCGGCCCACCAGAAAACCTCTGTCTCTGTTTCTGTATATTTCTCTCTCTCTCTCTCTCTCTCTCTCTCTCTCTCTCTCTCTCTCTCTCTCTCTCTCTCTCTCTCTCTCTCCCTCTCTCTCCCTCAGTCTTTCTGTCAATCACTCACCTCTCCACTCGTCTCCATACGAGAAGCTGTATTGACGGTATCCCCGAAGAGACAGTACCGAGGCATCTTTATGCCTACCACGCCTGCCACAGTGGTTCCCGTGTGAACGCCTGAAAAAAATAATAAAACATAACAAACAAAACACAATAAAAGTGGGTGGTTGGTGGGAGCTCTGGTATGGTTTGCTTTAAAAAAAAATCAAATATCCATCGTCCAGTTCTGCCGTCGTAAGGGAAAACGACGAATGGTCCTGCGCAGGTAGCGAGGCAAATTTTTCAGGAGAGGCAAAAACAGTTTTCACTTTATAACTCTTCTATTTTTCACTCTTTTAAACTGTAATTCACCAGATATCTGATTGAGGTGTTCATAAAGCAGTTTCTAAAGCTTGAATGGTTTAGGTTCAAAAGTAGCAAAGTTATTCGACATTCGTCGTTTTCCCTTACATTACGCACCCGCAGGTGAGCCTTAAACAAATCAGATGAGCACACATTTTCAAAAGCTTGATTTAAAACTGTCTCATTCGGAACCAAAGTTTGGTCTCCATGATATCTATTTATTGATTGTATTCTCTTGAGATGCGAGTTTTACTTTTATTTTCGCTAACTGCAAAATTTTCCCTGCACGACCACAAAGGGATCAACAATGTTACAATGTCAATAATACGATCAGATCATTGCAAAGTCCAACTTTCACTTCAGAAATGTAACAATCTGACTAGACTGTTTCACAAACGCTTTCAGGACAGGTAATGCGACGCTTTGTATTTAATAAAGGATTCAGTTGATCGGATCGGAAAACACACCACAAAGTAGAGGTCGACAAGAACAGTTTGAATCTGCAAGACATTATTATACTCCTTCGTAACGTCCATCAAGTCATAAGAAATCGTAAAGCAAGACTAAGTGTCGCCACAATACCTCCACTTTTTAAGTTGGACAAAGAAATTTACTCTCATAACGCAGTGTCATTAATTGCTTGGTAATTCTATAATGATGTCGACCAATGACACGTGCTAGACCACACTTAATTAAGCCCGGTTCACACTGTACACTAAAGTACACTAATACGGGGTGCCCACTACGCTTACAAAACAAATGTGTTTGTTTTCAGTTTCAGGCGATCGAGTCGGGCGATCAGCCCGATCCAACCGTAGTGGGCACCCCGTATTAAGCCAGGAGACTGATCAAGTCGGGCGATCGGCCCGATCCAACCGTAGTGGGCAGCCCATATTAAGCCAGGAGACTGACCTATCCGGATTTTCATACTGTCGTTGTTGGCGGGGTTGGTGAGGTGCTGCATGGAGTCGCGCATGTCCAGGGCCATGTCACACATATGCAGGGCGTGGTACTTGGTCACTGTCGGCGCTCCGGACACCGCCATGTACGCGTCACCGATTGTCTCCACCTGGTTGGGTTTGGGGTGGGG